CGAACCCGCGACCCTCAGATTGTGAGTCGAGCGCCTTATCCACCTGGCCATGCCGGGCCGTGCCCGGTGGGTCAGCAGTAGGTTTGCGGACTTGGAACACAAAAGTCCGAGGTTCGATTCTCCGTGGCGAGTAAGATGCAAACAACCAAGAAAAGCAGTAATGACAAAACTGACGATCGAGTAAGTTAAGAGTAAAGCTCAGAGCAAGATGGAGTAGACTAAATTGGCTTGGGATGTTGTTACATTACATATAGTAGTAACTTTCACTATGCAACAACAATTATTACTTTACCTTTAACAGCGTACCATTCAGCTCCATTAGTTACACCATCCGAGAAATCAGGTATCCCCGACCGGCATGATTTTCCTTGATGCATAGTGGTATGTTGAGAGGAGTACAATAAAGCCAGGTGGTGAAAGACATCGTCGTCTGGAGTAAAGGACTTAATATATCTTGTAGGCGCGTCTGAAAACCGGTATTCATGACTTATGATAAAATTTCTCTTTTATTTTCCATTCTTTTGAATTAACCCCCCCCCCCAACACACACACAAAATAATAATTAAGATTATACCTGAAAGGAAAAATTATATGGCATATTTTCTTTCTTTGATATTTCACATTATTTTAAAAGTGTTAATTTTGCTTTATAATCCTACAAGGCCTTTGATAGGGCTAAGTAGAGACTGAAGAAATTGGTTTATATCTGGAATAGCCTTAATAAAAAGTGAAGTTTTAACTCACTAACATTTATTTAAACCCTCCTTCAACTTACCCTCTGAAGTCACAGGTCTTATGATAGCTAAATAATATTTGGGATTTATGTAAACATTCCTCCAGCCGACTGATCTTTACTGAAAATGTAACTAGGTTTATACTGGTATAAAAACTTACCACCGGATCAAATGAAATTCGAATAACTTACTACTGAATCAGTGACTTAGAGGTTTATATTTCTAAAGACTAATGCCCTATTTGAAAAGTGGTTTTTATAAGATTTAATAACATTTCATGCTGTATGTATAATGACTATATTATATGTTTTTCGATAGACCATATAAAGCAATTTGCTATAACAGTATGCTATAACATATTTCACTTTTTATCACTGAAACTTGGCTGGAAAACGTTACGATTGAAACTATTTGATGTTGTACAAAATAGTTTTCAATCAGATAGCTAACATATTTTCGTTTAGTAGTCTGCGAAAATATATTTATAAAAATTCCAAGGAGCTTACTTTTATTTTTTTGGGAAGGAGGAAGATTGTCAAATGGATAACTTGCAACAAGAGCTCCTCCGTGTAAATTGGCCGATAGAACGAATGGAATGTCGTTTAACCATTTCTTAACGGCTTTTGTTTCTGGTTCTTCCTTTTGTAGGTTTTCTTCAAAGTAGTCTGGAAAGTTGCGATTTAGGTCGACGCCATGTGCGTTATTTCTGAAACATAACAAGCTATATCAATATTGCATTCACGCATACTTTCTGATCATTTTGAAACACATTATTGAATTACAGTTTTATAAGCAGTAGAAACAACTCACTCGTTCATAAAAGGAAAACAAAAAATCTGGATTCAACTGTACAAGGTAACTGTGACCAAATACTAACCTGTCCGAAACTAGAATAAACACTCTATCTTCTTAGTTATACTGCTTAAATGTAACCTGCCTGGTACAAGGAAACATGTTTTCTTCTAAACTTTACAAGATAAATATGTAACTATAAATATGTTATACAAACAAAAGATTTTCATCCCTGCATTCAGGTGTCAGAGGTGTAGAAGGCACATTAAGTATGTGTGGGGGGCAAGGTTTATCTGATCAAGGGAGACGAAGGAATGTGCATCACAGGTGCACCCATTATGGCCGGGAAGCTCTTGGGTTCTGTATTAAATTGTATGCATTGGCTTGCTTTGTCTTCGAGTAATTTTCCCTGTTTTGATGCATTCTCACTGGAACAGATTGAAAGTGGGGGAGACGCCCTTCACTTCTTACGCCACTGGGTGTTCAATATAAATGTAGCTAAATATTAATCTTAATAACACAGATCGACACACTCTTCAAAACTGTCAAGATAAAATGCAATTGAAACGTATTCTCCACTCAGTTGTAACAAATGAAACTAAGTAAACACTAACCTGCCAGGGCTACGAGAACATAATCCTTCTATTGCCATTTCAAACCCGTCGGGATTCATGGATGGCATCAAATGGATCTGGGTGTTATCCATCAGCCAGCGGACGTAAGGATCTTTGTTGTAGTTATTGATAAGATAAGCTGCTAGATGCAATAAGAGTTCTCTTCCAACAGACTGAAAGTAAAACAATAACAATTTCTTAAAATGTAGAGTAAAAATCATAAATTACACAGCAAGTACTTTCATAGTTAGAGTTGTAAGTCAGACTTTTATCATTTCAGCTTTATTGAAGGCTCCAACACTAACAACTATAAAGCTGTGAAACATACAAGTTCGTATGAGTTATTGTCAATGCTCATATTTTTATCCGCGAGATAGCGGCTCATAGAATGGCCCCGAGTTTTTCAAGTACAAATTTTTAGCTCATAGCTCCATCTCTTGACCGATTTGAGATCTAATTACGGACGCGGTTATTGAGAATTCCCTCTTGTTTTATTCAACGTGAAACGTTCTAATTAGGAAATCGCTAAACTCTATAGGATTTAGTACATAAAATAGCGTCAAACATAATATTTTAGAAAGTGTATCTATAGTTCTAGCTGATAATAAATATATAGAAGGAAACACGCTGTCCTGAAAACAAATGCTTGACACCACTTCAAATATAATGTAGCTTTTACCTTCAAAACGTGAATAAAATATTATAGTAAATATTCGGAAAGTAAATTAAAAGACTAATTGCTAAACTGTTCCAATGATATTTGGTAAGAAAGTGAAAAGGTAAACATTTACTAAGGCCCGGCATGGCCAAGTGATTTAGGGTCGCGGGTTCGAATCCCAGTCCCACCAAACATGCTCGCCCTTTCAGCCGTGGGGCGTTATAATGTGACGGTCAATCCAACTATTCGTTGGTAAAGAGTAGCCCACGAGTTGGGGGTGGGTGGTGATGACTAGCTGCTTTCCCTCTGGTCTTACACTGCTAAATTAGGGACGGCTAGCGCATATAGCTCTCATGTAGCTTTGTGCGAAATTCAAAACAAACAAAGAACTTTACTGAGGTGAGATGGTTTGCTGTTAGAATCTTCCTTCAGTGAGGAAAAAGAAGTTAACAAGAAATTTCAGGTGAATTAGTTATGCATTCTAGTAGTGCCACGACAAAACATTTGATAGTGATATCAGAGAATTTAAACACAATTAAAACTGGAAATACAAACAAAAGTTACCAAGCATTTAACAATTGCGCGCATGGACTTGGTTTTCATTCAGGGTGAAATATTGATTTTTTATTAGTAAAGTGATTTTTTAATGTTCAAGTGGTTGCACAAAGAAATACCAATCAACTAAATGTGGAGTAATGAAACAATAAGTTGTTTGTCCAATAGAAAGTCAAGCATATCAATTTGTAAACACCTTGTTCATTGTAAAAGCGCAACAAATATTTTAAAGAAGGAAGAATGTTTATAATTTTGGTTGCTGTAGAGATCAACAATTTTGTTTGAACTACTTTTATTGTTTATTATTAGAAAAACTTGGAATATTGGGTGGAAAACGTTGCGTTGGTATTTTCTTTTATTGCAGAAAAATTGATGTTGCATACTCGACAGACTGTTTGAATTACTTGCCTTCTTGACTGCATAATCGATAATTTTAATAGCAAAATCTCTATGCGTAACAATGATTTTAAGTCTGGTAATTTCTTCTCTTAAGTAAGATACATTTGAACAAATATTAGAAACTCTGAATGTATACAATGTTCTTTGTGTGTGTGAAAAGAATGGTTTACAGGAGCTTCTGTGTGGAGGAGGGAGAGGGGGATTTACAAAAAAAAAAAAAACGGTTTGCGGTAAATTAGTGTATAAAGAAGCAATTGTTTCCATAAGTGAGAAATTTGCGCAATGAAATTTATTACTACGTTAATATACTGTTGCGAATTTGATGCCAGGAAATTGCTTGTTACAAAGGTTGATATGGACCAGATTAATGTTCTAAGTCTAGGTATAGACCAGATTAATGTTCTAAGTGTAGGTATAGACCACATTAATGTTCAAAGTCTAGGTATAGACCAGATTAATGTTCTAAGTCTAGGTATAGCTCCTCCACCGCTCCTATTGTTTTTAAGGAAGCTATCATTCCGTATGTCAACAATAACTTAAAATGAAAGACGTCAAACGTTTAGTTAAATATGACATTTGAAATGAATTAAAAAGATACATTGTTAAAAAATAACTCTAAATTAAGTCTAACATAACTAAGAAAAACGACTGATGATTTATAGTACAAAAACCGGGTTTCGATACCCGTGGTGAACACAGAACAGATAGCCCATCGTGTAGATTTTTGCTTAACAACAAACAACAACAATACTTTGAACACAATAATTTAATTCTTATATTTGTTTTACCAAAATTTTATTGACCATATGAAGATTCATAAGATTAATTCAGATTTCGCCCAGTTATTTTCTGTATTAGTTCTTCACGTTATTAGGTAAAAAAAAAGTATCTTACTGAACTAATGATCACAAATATATTTTTCAGAATTATTTTGATTTTGTTGAAAAACCGCAACAGAATTATATCGAAATCAACTCTTTTGATCCCTTCTCGCTTTTCATTAATTGTCATTATAGGAAATGAGTTCAGTCTACACTTGACATAAAGTTGTGATATAACTACTTCTAGATTAAAAGCTGTCCTCCGATGTGTTAGCGGTAAGTTTACAGACTCACGACGTTAAAATCCCAGGTTCGATTTCCCGCGGTGGACAGAGCGCATATAGTCCATTGTGTAGCTTTGCACTGAAATATTAACAGCTTCGTGCATTTTTCGTGAACCAATTTACAATATATTTAATTAATTCTCTATCCTGTAGATCTTAAAATATAAACAACGAATGTCGACGATAAGTTCATAGTGTTGCTGTATGATTCCGTTGCCGCAAAATAGAGCGTTGCACTTTGGGAAGGCGTGCGTTATGAGTGACCGTTAAATCGCTCTCTTCGATTATAACAATTCAAAAAGTTGGCGGTGGGTGCTGTTGGTTAGCTGTCTTGCCTCTTGTCTATCAGTTCAAAATTACTGACAGATAGCGCAGTTAATCCTTGCGCAAAAATGTTGGAACAAAACAAAGAAACAGAAGTGATATTGTGGAGGGAGGATGGCATTTTACTATAGAATGTTCTAACTTTGTAAAAATCAACACGCTGACATCCAGATTACAACAAAATCTAAACTTGATAGCAAATTTTCTTTAGTAGTGAGCCGGGCAAGGCCATATAGTTAGTAAGCCCGAACTATACATTCGAGGATTCGTGGTTCACATTCCGGATTTGGGTTCATGGGTGCGCTATAAGAGAAACACTTGAACCCCACAGCTTAGTCAGGTATGATCAGCGTAAGAGTTGGCGGTGGTTGCTCTTGACTAGCTGCATTCTCTCTAGTTTAAAAGTTCAAAATTAGGAAGGAATATGGGTAGATAGTCCTTTGGGTCTGGCATGGCCTGGTAGTGAGGTCGTTCGACTCGCAATCTGAGGACCGCGGGTTCGAATCCTCGTCGCCGAACATGCTTATCTTGGTGTTAAAATTCTTGACTTACAAAAATTCTGGTCGAATCCAAACTAGTTGGGATTAAGGTCGTAACGGCAAAGAAGATGGTTAGATAGTCTTTTGTCTAGTTTTGTGCTGTAATTCTCAAACAAACGAAAATTCTTTACTAGTAGTTCTCAATCCTTTACTAGAAAATTGGATTTCTGTTAATTCCCCCCCCCCCCACACACACAGACAAACATTTAGAATGTTTTCTTAGAAGGATAAAAAAAACAGCATTCTTTACATTGCTAGAGAGCTCTGAATATTTTGATTATATTTATCTAAGATAAAAAAAACTCTACTTAAATCTATTGCAACAGATCAAGGTTTTGAAAGACACTTTATTGATTGTAGAATCAAAAATGGCAGACACTCAAAATTGGCATCACATGACATCAATTTTATCGCAATAAACGAAAACATTCATTAAAAAGTTCTCTATCCCATATTCAAGTTTATCTGACAAATTTCAAAAATTAAATAAAAGATTTTTAAACATTTATAAAAAGAATAATTGCTTTCAAAGTTAAATGTTTTTTTGATCAAATCTAAATTGGATAAGTAAGTCGAAACTTATGGGTCAGTCCATTACACACACACACGCACACAACAGAACAAAAATATAGTTGACGAATCAGATTTTGCTCAACATTTGAAGTTTTTTGTATTATTAACTGAGAAAACTAAATCTTTAACTGTAGTTAATTTTTTAATGTCACTGTAAATTGTTTTCTTTTCGGAACTACTGGAGTACCAAACTATGTCATTTTAAATCTCTTGTTCTTATTCCTCACTTCTTGAAGATTATTTTATACTTTAACTACAACGTTGAGTGTGAAAGTACGGCGTGTCAGAGCTGAAATATTACTAATTCTACCCTTCTATAATTAGTACAGAATATATCCATATTAAGGCATATCCTGGTTTTCTACATGTAGCTATAACATTCTTGTTAACCGGATGTCAAGGGGTCATAAACATGTGCTACTCCTTTTAGATGGACCTGTGTCAATTTCTTATGACGCGACGAGAAACTGAAGGGAAACTCAAATTTTGTACAAGTTGGGAGTCCTCTTCTTTGAATATATAATTTGGAATAGTCGGTGACATAGGTGAGCAATGGATAATAGGATACCGCAATGGACCCTTGTCTGATTTCAAAGTGTGTATAATACAATTCTTACCTTCCTTGTCCTGTGCGAACCTATCCGGATATCCTTTCTCTACACCACAGCAGCTAGTATAGTCACAACAGAATTTAATGGGCTGCCAAATAGGCAAAATACACTACACTTTTGCAAATAAATATTTTATTAATTTATTCGCTTTTGTTTGTTTTCCTTTGCTAATTGAGTTCAGTTTATTCTCTGCATAAAATTTCCGAATCGGCGTTTTGTAGATACTTGAAACTTGTTTGTTGGACATCATTATAAGTTAATACGACATATGTAAGACATGTTAGGCGTTTCATGTTGTCGTTTTCTTGTGCACCTTTTAAATTTCCTGACTAAATGCGACAAGTATTTAGGAAACGCGTAATGTTTTACCACATTGAAATGACACCTTACCTCATTTCTGTTTAAAATTTTATATTAAATCTTCATCGAATCTAATTTTATCCCAACTCTAAGCAAATCTACAGAGTAATTAATGAATATTTAGTTGTTTCCTTTTTTTATTTACGTTGTAATATCAAGGAGGATAAGAACACGAGAGTGTCTTGATAGCTTCAGTGCATCCTTATAGAGTTCTATTTAATCGTGTACCAAGCTTTAATAAATTCCGTCTAGCAATTGTTTTGAAATGTGTAAGCCCGGCATGGCCAGTTGGTTAGGGCGCTCGACTCGTAGTCTGCGTGTCGCGGGTTCGAATCCCCGTCCCACCAAACATACTCGCCCTTTCAGCCGTGGGGGCGTTATAATGTGACGGTCAATCCCACTATTTGTTGGTAAAAGAGTTGTCCAAGAGTTGGCGGTGGGTGGTGATGAATAGCTGCCTTCCCTCTAGTCTTACACTGCTAAATGAGAGACGGCTAGCTCTCGTGTACCTTTGCGCGAAATCCATAACAAGCAAACAAACAATTGAAATGAGTAACACCGCAAATCTGTACTGAAATGAGCAGATCAAAGCTGCTAGTATTTGTGTTTCCTCCTTGTTATTTGAATGTTAATTTGGTAGCTCAGTCAAGCATGGCTTTTGAAAAGTTGTTTATTGCCACAAATAAGTCTTAATTTCGTAATTTTCAACTTGAATTATATACTTATAAGAAAATGTTTTTTTTTTTTGGTTGTTTGAATTTTGCTCAAACTACTCAAACAGTTTCTGCGCTAGCCGTCCCTAATTTAGAAGTGGTAGATGAAGGCATCTAGTCAATACCACCTATCATCAACTCTTGGGCTACTCTTTACCAACGAAAAATAGCACTACCATAACATTATAAAAGCTCAAATGGCGGGTATGGGCGGTGACAGGATTTGAGCCCGCGACCCGCATCTTACGAGTTGAGATTCTTAATCACCAGGCCATGCCAGACCCTTACTCGATCATAAAGTAAGTGTACTTACAGGTTTTATTTAACACCAGCAGATTGCATGGGATCTATAATTATGTGACTGATAAAAATTTGTTTTGAATTTCGCGCAAAGCTATTCGAGAGATATCAGCGCTAACTGTCCCTAATTTTGACTAGAGGGAAAGCACCCACCGCCACCTCTTGGGCTACTATTTACCTACGAATAATGGGATTATCTGTCAAATTATAACGCCCTCACGGCTGAAAAATAACATGGAGTTCGAACCCGCGACCTTTAGATTGCGAGTCGATTGCTCTGACCACCAGACCATGCCAGGACGACTAATAACACAGATACTAGTCATGTTGTTCAGAATTATATACTTCTTTCATTTATAATTACACTTGAAAATATTAATAATTATAGGGGTTTCTTTACAGAGTGCAAATACTGTCTATTGAACTGTGATGCAAGAAAAAACAAATCCAAGAACCTTTCGTTGTTCTCAGTACAAAACGTATTTATTGTAAGTTTTGGTTAACGATAACAGTAACAAAGACACTATCTAGCATCACCTGTGGTTATTAACGAAATAATAGTATATTAGGCCTACCTCGTCTCCGTGCATATTGGCAATATATTTGACGTTAGGCTTCAGTAGAGGTCTCTCATTGGGAGTTGAAGACAGAAGTATGACCCATAATTCTTTTCCTACATCGCACGAACAAGGAAAACAAAAGGTGTGAAAACCATATCACCATCAAATGAAAAATTATTCTATTTTTGTTATGTTCATTATTAACTAAGCTCCTGATACTTCATATAAGCGAACACTGTCATTACGTAATGATAGGTTTAGGAGTGCGTCAACGCCAACAAGTGCACTTAGCTATGGAAATGTTTTCTGAATCATCATTCACTCTCCGCTAAGGATGTCGTATTCTTCTGATTATTTATACAAATTTATAGAGAGAAGGGAAAGTTTCAAAATACTTCTCAAAAGTTTTGCCTGCCCCCATTCTTACATTTTTTCCCCCTTACACTACGAACTAGCGTCAAAAGGCCCATTTCAAAGGAATAGTATTATTATAACCGTATAAACAACATCCCTTTCATAAACACGTATACTTTAGACTTAATAATTATAAAGATCACTAGTTGATTAGGCTATAGACGTAATAACTAATTATAGAGTTACTTGTTAAACGTTTCAACTTCTCGATAACTTAATAGTTTGTAACATTTTAATAGTAATAATATTTAGTGTATTAATTTAAGCCGCATTTGAACATTTTAAGTTGAGTTGACCTTGTAAAGCATTAATGGGATTACAGCCGAAAATACCTTTAAAAGTGAAGGGGCTCAAATAACGAATGAATATCATGTGTGAAGTTGGGATTATATATAAATATTTTGACTGGTATGTATTTACTATTACGCTTTTTGCGAGTACTTTAAACAAAATACGAGAACTTATATTGAACTATAAGATCTTATTAGTTATATCACCAATAAAAGTATTTAAGCGCAAATTCGCAAATTTAAAAATGAGATAGAGTACTCTAGTTTATCAAAATCAAAGTGAAGATATGACAACAGGCCCTACTTTACTCACCCAATATTATTGGACTAACGTTTATGTTACAAACTGTATCATAAATATGCTTCCAATTTTGTTATTCAAAACACATATAAAACTGTTTACATACGTACACCATATGAACTGCCACTTACATGTTTTGCGTAGAAAACATGTAATTTTTGTATTAACTTCCAACTAGTAATCAACCCTTTATCATAATGAATATTTATCATAATTATAGGTGCACGAGTAAAATGCATTTTTCACCAATTCACTTTCAAGTAATAAAATATAGTCACTAAACATGTAATGTCCCCTAGTGACGTATATTATAAGGCGTGCAGAATCCTGGTTCCAATCCATTCACCGCAATTCAAAGTGTTTACAGCAACAGGTTTTCTTCGAAGCGAAGTAATATTTACGTAACAAAAAAAACAACAACAAAACAATGTATTATATTGTGAACTCAACAAGTTTCAATGAATGGCCGTAAGCTAAGAAACAAAAAGAATTCTATGGCTAGTCTTCATATTATCTACTCTTTTTTTAGTTAACATGAAATTACACGAAATGAATTGAATTCAGTACGTAAACTTGTACTACGTCTTTTAATTAGAATAACTGTGTAGTTGAAAGTTAATATCATGACATTACAATAATTATATAAATTAGGTTAAACTGAGTTCCACACAAAGTCAAGCAAGTCTGAAACATAAATAAACTAAATCATTAATTCTTCAAAAAAAACAAAAAAAACAACTCGTTTGGATTGATGGATATAAACCAGAATATATAAAATTAAAGAAATTAATTCCAAGAGCAAGAATCTTCAATTCTTCAAAAAAAACAACAAAAAAAAAACAACTCGTTTGGATTGATGGATATAAACCCGAATATATAAAATTAAAGAAATTAATTCCAAGAGCAAAATCAAATAAAACCTTTTATATAATTCAACACGAAACATCACATGAGAAGCTATTACAAATTAAATAGAAATTATCATTTATTGAAAATATAGAACAGAATTAACGAGAACTTGAAAGTTATAGTGAAAATTTCATCTATTTGTTTGTTCTTTGTTAAGCACATTGCGTTATTCGTGCTTACCCAACACAGGAATCGAATCATGCATCTTAGCGTTATAAGCTCTCAACTCATCGTTCCAGCCACCGTGAGGTATTTTCATTTATAAATGTAGAAACGAGTCAGATTGAAAGATTTCCACATAAAAGTAATTTCTATCAATATACTTAATAACAACGTATACAGACGAATTCTAACATCATGACTTATAAACCACATAAAATTATTGTAGATAATTTATGTAAGCAGTTTTCTCAAACAACAACAAACAAATATTCTAAGGACTTGAATCATTGGGGGACATTACAGACAATAAACAGCTGTTTACTTTTCAAATATTTAACTTCTCGGGTACTAAGTTTGTACTCAAAGAATCGTTACTTTTGGTAATGTTGTTTAAACGATGCGAGTTATTTATCTGTATACCTATAACTCATAAATACAAGAAGAAAAAACAACAACATTAATTCGTCATCACATCAGTCGATCTTGAAAAACCATTACATGTATCGAAACTTTATGGAATTTAATGGAATAAGTAAAATATTAAATTGCGTTTTTTCCTCACTCTCGAAATTTTACCTTCCATAGAGGAAGAAGTAGAGAATATATATATATATATATTTCATTAGCTCTGGAGCCATGCGTGGCTTAATGGTTAACAAATAGGGCTGCGGATCACAAGGCCCAAAGTACCAGCTGCAATATGTCACTGAACACGCTCAGTACTCTTCGACTTCAGTTAAGAGGTGCTGATATATATGGGTAGTGAGTATTACTGAATGGTTAGGAATACCATGGATGAACGTTGAGTTTTTGACCTAGACGTTTAGCTTATGTGTCGGTTAAAGTACCATTCAAGTTGAAAATAGAAGTTACCAAATTATGGTAAATAAAGCACAAATAAGGTTTATTTCGCTATAATTCATCAAGGCATTTTCCTGGTGATCAGTTTATAACATACATAAGCAAAGAGCGTAATTTAAAGTGCCATCTAGAATTTAATAAATATTTTAGGCGGGATTTACATTCCTAAGGCCCAGTTTCCATTTAATTCTCATAGATAATAATAATACTAGACTTTTTAAACGCACGATTCTTAGCAGTCTTATTACAGATTTCTAAGACAGCTATATTGTTTGTGGCGGACAGTTTTAACACTAACAGAGTATGAAAGTCAAGTAAAACTTATACATCATCAGCAAAAAGGAGTTTCTTTCTCTCTTAAGATAATGTAATTAAACACTAAATTCTCTGTGATCCAGTTTAAAATATATTACCTTATTAGATGGCGTACTATGAAGAAATACAAGTGCTAAATATTTTAAAAGAAAATAAAGGTTGATTTTCATTGGGTTTACATTGATTTATACCATGCAGAAATTTCAACATACTGTCAACTGAAAGTCCAATGGAATAAAGCTTGGTCAACTCTGGAAACCTATTGGTGATATTCTGTAGCAGAGTTGTCATGTCGTCGTATCGGTGATATTGATAATCCACGTCAATCAGTTGTTGTTCAGACGCCTCACATGCCAAAGTAACAACAGCAGATAGCAGAAATCTGATATGCCACCCGAGGTGCCCCATCTGGTGGAAGTAATTGAAATAAGAATTCTTACTAATCACTTCTATAGTAAAACAACATTGCAAGAGTCACTCTTATTGAAAGTTAATATAATTCAATACTTAATACTCATATACTTTTTACGTTGCCTCGTCGCTAAAAGAGTTTGGTTTATTTTTAATTTCGCGCAAAGCTACATGAAGGCTATCTGCGATAGCCGTCCTAAATTTAGCTGTGATAGACTAGAATGAAGACAACTAGCCAGCATCACCAACTTTTGGGATACTATTATTCTAACGAATAGTGGGATTGACTGTCACCTTATAACGCCCCCGTGGCCGAGAGGGTGAGCATGATCGGTGATGGAGGAACCAACCCGCGACCCTCAGATTGCGAGTCAAGTGAGTGCCTTAACCACCAGGCTATGTCATGCTACGCTAAAAGAGAAACACCCTTAACGTACAATTTCGCAATCTATTTGATAGGGACAACCTAGGTGGACCAATAGGTCCCTGTTATCCCCGAACTTTAAGTTATGTTATTTTATTATTATGGTGCAAAACTACCCAATGAAGTATTTGCAATCTGTCCACCAAGGGGAATCGAAAACCATAATTGTAAGTCTGCAAACTTACGACTGACCCATTAAGAAAGGAATAGAGGATTGACGAGATACTCTACGTTCATTTATATTAATTGTGCGATCATCGCTACACGAGCAATGAGATAAATGTTGTACGGAACAGTTCAACAATGTAATTGATAAGTATTGTTTCTTGTTTATAATATTAAAATAAAAATAACACACAATGTTAAAATGGGTACACAACTGAAAACATTCTAAATTAAGACCAATAGCTGGCCTCCAAAAAAGTTGACTCTACAGTAGTGAAGGTCAAACCCAACTATTCGATGAGACTAAAATAGCCCTAGAGTTGGGGGTTGGGATCTGCTTTTCCTCTAGTCTATCAGCACAAAATTAGGGCTAGCTTTAGGCGTTATCCCTTAGGTAGCTTGCCGAAATTCTGACACAAACAAACAGGCACTGGTACTTTGCTGTACTGAAAAAGCACAGAGTACTTCTGTGTATGTTATTATATTGTTATAATAACTTTTGACAGATGTATAGACACATACTAACTGTTTTCTGCTACTTTCTAATCTTGAACATTTATTCATAAATCAGAAATAACTAACTACACTTGATAAGGAATTTTACCCTTTATATCAAAGAGTTTTTGAATAATAGTAGCTTTGAATCACGTTGTAGATTATTATACTGTTCTGTAATTATAATGGTGACTAAACGTCCCGTGGTCGACTTGTATTCGTATTCATACTAGGAGGTAAGTAACTTCGTGGTTGGCACTGTTTTGGTAACTACACAATGAGCTAACTATCTTTGTTGCTGGGATTTGTATTCGTATTCACTTTAGAAGGTAACTGATTTCGGCACCACGTTCTTATTCACAATAGGAAGTAATAATTTCGTGTGATCGGTACTGAATTCTTATTCAGAATAAAAGGAAACTATCTTTGTGTTGTCGACATTGTGTTCGTATTCAGATCGGAATCATACAAACTCTTCTTGAGTGTTTATTCACTTTTATACTAATATTTAAACAATAGAATTGTTTAAAGTTAGATACAAAATAATTAAAACATCATATTTATGAAATAACTAATACTGCTAGAATCGCAACCGCGTGCATTGAATTATTACATTTTAAGTTGCGTAGCAGTGGCCCGCGTCAAACGTCTGTACAGTTGATGTTAACATAATAATGGTTTGTTTGGAACCTGAAGAAAAACTACTTATGGGAAATTTTTATGCCACATCAGAGACTTTTGAGAATTTTAAGGATTTATTCTAACTTATTATATCTAATAACGATTTCAAAAGTACTAAGTCTTTTAGTTCGACCATTTTAATGAAGTTCATGCTACACTTTATTAGCAGCAGAGACTAAACAATATTTGACTGCCATAAACCTCAAACCAGCCTAAAAATAACTGTAAACCACGCCTTAAATTCCTTTCTTTTTATCTTACTTTTACACGATGCTTTTAGCCTAATGTCAGGACGCACGCCTTGCCAATTTCTATAGGTCGTGGGATCGAAACCTGTCCCCGAATATGTTTACCCTTTCAGCCGTGGCAATGCTATAATGTTAATAACGGTCAATACCATTATTAGTTGGTAAACGATTAGTCCAAGATTTGGACTTTCACTTCAAAATTACGAACTGCCTAGCACAGATACCTCTCGAGTAGCCTTGCGCATATATCCGAAACTTGAATTTGAGTTAAGCCGGAGAAGTCCTCCCTCATTTATATATATACAAGTCGTAGAAGTGTTCAATCATAAAACTAAGCCAAAGGGGCCCTCACATGAAGTTAAGCCCATACAAAGTGGCTTCATTTATTGATACAGCTTCTTTGTATTCGGAGCGACATTATAACATGGAATAAATAACAAAAATTACCGCTCAGATAAATTATTTTATAATACAAATACAGTTTAAGTTTAAGATTTTTGTTTCTCTTCTACGATGGCTGACATGGCCTAGTAGTTAGAATGCTAGATTCGCAAGCTGTGTGTCTCGGATTCGAATCTTATCGTCGAATATGCCTTTTCAGCCGAGAGATCGTTATAATGTGATAATCAATCCTAGTATTCGATTACAGTAGCCCAAGGTTGGCGATGAGCGGTGTTGACTAGTTACTCACCCTGTAGTCCATTACTTCTAAATTAGGGACGGCTAGCGCAGATAGCCTTCGGATAATTTTGCACGAAATCAACAAAACAAATAAACAGTCTTCTCTCATACCCGATCAGGCATAGCAGTGATTAATGTAACAATCTTCTCTCATACCCGATCAGGCATAGCAGTGATTAATGTAACAATCTTCTCTCACACCCAATCAGGCATAGCAGTGATTAATGTAACAATCTTCACTCACACCCGATCAGGCATAGCAGTGATTAATGTAACAATCTTCTCTCATACCCGATCAGGCATAGCAGTGATTAATGTAACAATTTTCTCTCATACCCGATCAGGCATAGCAGTGATTAATGTAACAATCTTCTCTCACACCCGATCAGGCATAGCAGTGATTAATGTAACAATCTTCTCTCACACCCGGTCAGGCATAGCAGTGATTAATGTAACAATCTTCTCTCACACCCGGTCAGGCATAGCAGTGATTAATGTAACAATCTTCTCTCACACCCGATCAGGCATAGCAGTGATTAATGTATAAAAGATACAAAGTAATACCTGTTACACTTGAAAACAATGATCGTTTTCTTTTTTTCTTCAAATCTCATTTTATTACGTTTCATTATACAATAAATATTTAAACCTTACGCCAGAAAACTTATTATAGTTGTTTTAAACAAAGTGTTTCTTTGCAAGTCAGAAAACTGACATGCTTCCTCTCAGTGGATCAGAGGTAAGTTAGAAGGCTTATAACCCTACAATTCAGAGCATAGATATCCCTTTGTGCAGCTATATGCTTACAGGAAACAAACTTAAAATGCTCTTGATTCAGATAAAGCGAAAGTTCAACAAGAAGATCACGACAATTGTGAAAATAAACATTTTATTTCGAATGATTCGGATTACACGTAATTCGTCTTCATCGTTTTTCTGCTAAGACAGTTCAAATGTAAGCTTAATCTGACAATTAGAACATAAAAATTTAATAAACTTTATATAAACATAGAATGTGGAGAGAAAAACTAAGAAAAACAAAAACAAAACCTAATTTCTTGTCTTTTCAACAAACTGTACACCGCCTCTCTCCTGATCGGAATTTAGGTCTTTGCGACCTAGGAGGGTCAGGTGCTCTGAGACCTCTTCCTCCCTTCCGTACCATGATAGGTTGTCCTTGAATGTTGATGGTTAGTACTACACGAGGGTCGGAGTAAACCGCACTTGCTCCGACCCCTTTCAGGGCAATACAAACTGTACACAATCTGCTTGATTGTCTGTTTTGAATTTCGCGCAAAGCTACACGAGGGCTATCTGCGCTAGCCGTCCCTAATTTAGCAGTGTAAGACTAGAGAGAAGACAGCTAGACATCAGCACCCACCGCCAACTCTTGGGTTACTCTTTTACTAACGAATAGTGGGATTGACCGTCACTTTATAACGCACCCACGCCTGAAAGGGGGGACATGTTTAGTGGGACGGGGATTCGAACCCGCGACCCGCAGATTGCGAGTCAAGCTCCCTAACCACCTTGCCATGCTGGGCCAAAGCAAAAATGAAAATAACAGTAAAGTTACGGGTGAATAAAGAAATAAGCAAACCGGTTTTAATACACAGAAGCTGACAGTAAAATAGTTGGTCTATGTTGGTTGATTATCAGTGCTTCTTTGTTTAATACTTCCCTCAAATGTGCCTAGATTAAGAATTTTGAAATTATACAAAGTGATATAGTGGCCACTGTTCTCTTTGCGATTAAAAAGATACGGTTTTTGGGGAAACAATAAAGTATTTATGGAAACATTGAGTGGTTTGATTTTAGAATTTAGCTTAGTGTTTGATCTATTACGTGTGAGTTTTTCTACCAATATTTGACGGTATCCATTTCGTTTCAAGATGTTGTATAAGAACTTTGGGGAGTCTGGTCGTTCAAGCAAATTTGTAGAATCTGTTGAAAAGACAAGAAATAAAGTTTTGTTGTAATGGAAGGGAAAGACACAGACCAAATCTGTGAAGAGATGAGAAAAAGTGTTCTTTCTGTAAACAGACGTAGAGAAATTGACAGTGTTTCTTGTTACAAGGACATGTCCAAAAGAAAAGTTAGGTTATTTCCTAATTTACAGGTTTAGATACATTAAAAATTTGGAAAAGCGTTGTTTCGGGCGGAAAATAATGAACGTATTACCTACATACCTTTAGTAAAGGACAGGCTTGAAGTTACTAGGGTAGTCTCCTAATCATGAGGGCTTGTGAAAACAAACAAATATATTGACGAGTGTAGAACCTAAGGGTGAACCCTCCGCAGCGCCATCTATCTCGTCATACAGTTTGCTACTGAAAAAAAAAAGTGGTTGTTTTGGATTTTGCGAAAAACTACACGAGGGCTATCTGCACTAGCCGCCTCTAATTTAGAAGTGATAGACTAAAGGGAAGCCAGCTAGTCAAAACCACTCACCGCCAACTCTCGAGCTACTCTTTTCTCAATGAATAGTGGGATTGACCATCACATTATAATGCACTCATGACTGAAAGGGCGAGCATGTTCGGTGACAGGGATTCGAGCCCGCGTCCTATAGATTACGAGTCGAGCACCCTAACCACCAGACCATGCTAGGCCTGTTTTGGTAGGGAGGTTAAGGAGTTGTTGTAGCTTTGGTTTGTTTAGTATCTTGTGAGAAAAGCGGTAAAAGGTTTTCTTTGTAATTATATTAGTGAAAATGGTGGTAATGTCAAAGTTGGCCATCACATAGTTTTCGGAAGTTTGAAAAGTGTCGATTTCTTTGGAAGAATAAAACAACTCTTTTTAATTTGGGAAATCGTTAGTAGTTAAATGGCATAAAATAGTAACCGAAAATTTAGATAGATTATAAGTTTTGTTTGTTGTTAAACCCAAAGCTACACAATAGGCTATCTTTGCTCTGACCACCAGGGTGCAAAATCCGATTGTTTTCGTCATAAACCTGCAGATTTACCGCTGAGCCACTGGGGGACTAGATTGTAAGCACGAGAGCCGATCATAGAGACGATAGGGCGTAGGGTAAGTTGTTTTTATTTCCTCTTTTACTGTTTGTTTTAGTGCAAAGCCACATTGGGCTATCTGCTGTGTTTACCGCGGGGAATCGAAACCCGGATTTTTGCGTTATAAGTCCGTAAGGTTACCGCTGACCCTCCGGGGAACTTTTATGTTTTCCTAAACCTTCGTGTTTAAGAGACTGCCTTATTAGCTTTAAACCTCTTCTTTACAAAAAGTATTTGAATGATACCTTCGTTACTTTCTGCTCGAAACAACACATATCCAAATATGAACGTGTCTAAGCTCGCGACGCCTGAATATACAAATCATTTGTGCATTAGAAAATATACTCACCATTTTCCAGATGTCCTTGTAACAAAATAAATTAGCGCTTTCTCTATATCTGTTTACGTACAGAAAACGTTTTATAGTCTCCTTTGGCAGTGTCATTTCCTCCCATTAAAACAAAACCTAATTTCTTGTCTTTTCAACAAACTGTACACAATCTGCTTGATTGTTTGTTTTGAATTTCGCGCAAAGCTACACGAGGGCTGTCTGCGCTAGCCGTCCCTAATTTAGCAGTGTAAGACTAGAGAGAAGGCAGCTAGTCATCACCACCCACCGCCAACTCTTGGGCTACTCTTTTACCAACGAATAGTGGGATTGACGGTAACGTTATAACACCCCCACGGCTGAAAGGACGAGCATGTTTGTTGGGACGGGGATTCGAACCCGCGACCCGCAGATTGCGAGTCGAGCTCCCTAACCACCTGGCCATACACGGCCACAATCTGCTTGAATATAAGTCTCTCCACACTGTATTAACCTTCTTACACAACATCTTGAAAATAAATGGATACCATCAAACCTTGCTAGAAAAACACACATGTAATTTATTAAAAACCAAGTTCAATTCTAAAATCAAACCACTCAGTGTTACCGGATGTCTGCCAGTATTTGGTTTCTCAACCTTGGTAAAAAGAACCTAAAACTCAAAGTAAATGTAGTTAAATTAATACACAAGTTTTATCCTTAGTCTAAATTCAGAGTATTTTTTAAACCCACTTTCATATTGAAAGACTTTTCACCACCTTTTTTGGTCTCATATGTCAAGAGCGCCATCTACATTGGAAAGACTAAACGATATCTTGCTGTGCATGTTCATAACACTTAGGTGTCTCCACAAAAACCGGATCTTCAATACAAATCTGTTCACATCCGACATTCTTAACCAGGGAAAACACTGCCCACCATATCACTTTGGATAAATTATGAACAGTATTATCAATTAAAGATACAGTGTTAATCAATCGATACAGACTAGATCCTATCAACTGAAACTGTCTTAGGTGTTCACTTTCATTCGGCCCTAACTGTTCCCTTGCTTCTTTTTGTTGTGTTTCTCTCCCTATTGCTCGCGGTGTCTCAGCGGTAAACCTGAGGACTTATAACGCTAAAACCCGGGTTTTGATACCCGTTATGGGCAAATCACATGTAGCTCATTGTATAGCTTTGCGCTTAACAACAAATAAACAGTTATCCTCGTTGTATTTGCATATATATATATATATTACATTTTATTATATTTTTTCAGTTTTAATTATTACATTAATTGATAACTTAATTATTTTCACAGCAAATCGCTGAAGATGGATTACGTATAATCGTCCGAAATAAAATGTTTATTTTCACAATCGTCTTAATATTCGGGTTGAAATAAAAGACATTTTAGTTTTGCATTACATGATGTATCAGAGAAGAAAATTAAAGTCATTACAGACAAAATGAATAATATATTTTATTAATACCACAAGTAGATAGCAGCTGCTGGCTCATTTAGAACACTTTTCTACATGTTATGCAAATACAACAGAGAATACAGTTTCAGTATGTAAGCTGGTTTGAAGCATCGTTACGTTTCATATGTGGAAAGTATTATTATGTGAAACAATTAGACGGGAGTGATTTACTGATTTTATTCGTTTTCTCTCAGTGAACTAAGTACCAATTTGCATGTAGTCTATGCGTAATTTTTGATATTCAAGATATTTATAAAGATTAGATTGTATATCATCTTCGTTTGTAGTTAAGCACAAAGCTACACAATGGGTCATTTGTGCTCTGCTCCCCCCCAACCCCACTGGTATCGAAGAACCTCTACAGTATTTGGATAGTCACTAACAGAGGAGATGAAAGTGTAAAAGCAGGCATGTAATACAAGAATCCCCACAGTCCTTAAAAAAAGGACATGAAAGTGAAACAGTTAATATACAGAACCCCATAGCATTTAGATGGTTATTAAACAGGGGACGCGAAAGTATGAAAGGAACCTCATAGTCTTTGGATAGTAATTAGAAGTGAGATCTGTATGAACTAGGTACTACTTTGAAGTTATTAAATTTAAATCAATGCGATTTAATACAATATTGTTGTTTTTTAAATTAATAATAAACTGTTATGTCAGTAAACTGGAACTTGCAAGTTACTTTACAATAAATGTCATAGTTTATACTGGAGTTTGACTTTTTTTTTCCATTTTAAGGTATGAATACTGCTAATTAGACGTTTCTTTATTTGGTGATTGAAATGAAATAACTAACTAAATTAATTTACAATGTTTAGAGGTAATGATATTCGCACAAAGCTACCGCCGTCCCTAATTTTGAACTGATAGATAGGAAGGAAGGCAGCTAGTCAGCAGCACGAACTAGTCTAATTGAATAATGGGATTTGACTGTCACTCTTATAACGCACACACGGCTCTAAAGTGCGTAGCGCGAATAAATATATTGCGGAAACGGGATGCGATCTATTGTCCGTCATGTTGACCACTAAATTACGCCCAGTCTAATGCGAAGCACAATTCAGTCATTTTACTTATTGTCGAGAATGTAAAACATTATCTATAATAGACATTAAGTAAACTTACCTCTATTGATTGTTCTTTATTTAATACTTCAGACCTGACGCAGTACTGATGGGCTGTATCAGTGTTTCATTACCGGTACCTTATATAAGAGCTATACACAAAATAATCTCGTTCCTACTCACCCTGGCTGGATACACGTCATATGCCAATGATTAATACTGTCCACATGCTTCCGTATAGAAAATCAGTACATTTCCTTTCTGGTTGAAAAAAAACAATACACAGGGACTAACTCTTTATTTCCTTCGGTTAATAAAAGTTTGGACATAAAACCCAAATCCTATCTGTTTATAAGTTATGTATTTCAATAATAATCTGATTAAATATTACCCCAGTCTCTTTTATTGTTTAATTTACGTAATACAGGAATCTTTTCTATTGTTGAATGTATCATATAACTCATCTATTTGACTATTTAATGTGATAGTCTAACACAATAATTGGTTACTATTCTAAATGTATCTGTATAATAATACATCAATCACTTTATTGTTTAATGTGTTTACATAATACAGGAATCTCTTCTATTGTTGAACCTATTATATAACTCATCTATTTTACTGTCTAATGTGATAGTCTAACACAATAATTGGTTACTATTTTAAATGTATCTGTATAATAATACATCAATCACTTTATTGTTTAATGTGTTTACATAATACAGGAATCTCTGCTATTGTTGAACCTATTATATAACTCATCTATTTTACTGTTTAATGTGATAGTCTAACACAATAATTGGTTACTATTTTAAATGTATCTGTATAATAATACATCAATCACTTTATTGTTTAATGTGTTTACATAATACAGGAATCTCTTCTATTGTTGAACCTATTATATAACTCATCTATTTTACTGTCTAATGTACTAGCCTAACACAATGACTGTTAACTATTTTAATGTATCTATATAATACATCAATCTCTTTCTTGTTTAATGTGCTTATAAAAATTCATTAATCTTTCTCATCGTTCCGTGTATTTATCTAATACATTCTGTATATCTGTTTCTCACTGTTTAGTAATAACTGACAATTTTACGATATTAGTTAAAAACTTCCAAGGTATAACAACAAGTGTAGGCGTTAAAAGATGTATTCACATCAAAATTAAATTTTGTTTAACAATGAACAACATCTTATAACCCCTCATGTGGTTGATGATACAAGAATAGTTTTAATTTTCACATGTAAACAATTGTCCATTATTTTGTGACAATTCAAGTGAAAAGTTTATAAAAACTTATTTAACTTATGGAGTGATTGTATTTCTAATGACCTTTTTTTAAAAAAAAAAATCTTGATCATGGGATTAATTCTGAGGCGTAATCCTATGAAGGGTAATAACATAGAGCAAGTTCTTCTAATGGTGATTAATGTATGGAATATATATTACACCGTACATTTAACTAATATTGCTTGATGTGTGAAAGTATTTTTAATCTTACATTTAACTAATACTTCTTGATGTATGAAGATATCTTTAATCTTACATTTAACTAATACTTCTTGATGTATGAAGATATCTTTAATCTTACATTTAACTAATACTTCTTGATGTATGAAGATATCTTTAATCTTACATTTAACTAATACTTCTTGATGTATGAAGGTGTTTTTAATCTTACAATTAACTAATACTTCTTGATGTATGAAGGTGTTTTTAATCTTACAATTAACTAATACTGCTTGTTGTATGAAACCATTTTAAATCATTCAATTAATTTATATTTAGATGGATAACTTGAGCATCGCTAATGATTTTAAGATCGTTTTGTGTGTTGATATTCTGTTTATGTGTGTGCAAATTCCATGTTATATACAAGTAATCATATCTTTAATTTTTATGAAACAATTTTTTATTCCTACAGAACTTATAAAAGGACACCGAGAAAAAAAATTCAAATCTCGTGCTCACGAGATACTAAGTGGCGCGTACAAGATAGTATTTTATGCATCTACACAACGTGTGGCCAGTCGGGACAGTAAGAAATTACCACCACGTTCTCACAATCTTGTCAAACGACAAAAAGGTACAACTTCATACATGTAGTTTTTTTTTTTCATTTACTTTTATTTGATTTACCAAAAGTCCCAGTGTAGCGCGACTAATAGTGCACATGGGTAGGTTGCAGTAGTCAGATATTCGTTTTTTTGTTGTTGCTATTTTTTCACATTGTCCCTTTAGGGGTTCCGTGAGACGGAATAAATAAGTAGGGCATCAATATCGGGCAATTTTCAGTCATCACGTGCTCTCTGATCACGCCAAATGCCAACTATATCTGTTGATGTTGCTCTCTGATTACTCCAAATGCCCACCATTTCGGTTGAAGTTAGTCTTGACAGTTATTCATTTTAGTATACTAACCATTGTCGACCTTCATAAAAATTTTTATTTTAAAGCAAACATGCCAATGTACGTATTAATTTCCCTGCTTTTCAAATTATTGGAGATTTAAAATCGGTTCATAAAAGAAACTCCCCTTGCCTCACTTCCGTCTAGTACTCTACCATGGGGGAAATAATGACTGTATCAGAAACAATGGCGTTTTTGTTTCATTTCGCGGAATTAAGATCACTTTCTAGGTACAGCACAGTCATAAAGATTCCAAGAATTAATTATGATAAACCTTTCTTAACTGATTTTTTTTTTCAATTATAAACTTAGATTTCATAAAGATACATGTAAAATGGTACATATTGTTACGTCTCCGTTTGTTAATTAACTTTCCGTAACTTCGTTCCGACGAAACTTTAACGACACAAGTCTTTACTTAATAAAACTGGTTTATTCTTTCCGAATATAACTTTACCGATACACTCAACTTCAACAATCGCGCTAAACAAACGCTGTAACAACGAACGTCTACAATACTTCTGACTGCAGTTCAATTACTCACTATCTACACACACATTACATTCTCGCGTCACGTTGTCCCCCTCTTATATATACCCAACTACCCTATATCTAGTAAATACTAGAGCATTCGCCAAAGTACAGGATAGTTCTAGACGCGTGGCGTCACAGTGGTCATGTGACTCGCTGACGCAACAATATGAAGAAGAAGAAAAGGGAGGGAGGGGCATTTGAATGGGTCAGTGAGCACTACTTTGAATCTTTGTAATTTTCAAATGTTAGCGAAGTTCTCTGACCCAAACGTTGACAATATAATTCATCTTCCATTACAGCGATTTTAACATTTGTATTATATGATGGTATAGCATCATTTCTTTGTTATCCAACAATGTATAAACGAAGTATTATTGTTTGGCCACTTCATTGTAGGTTCTGATTCTGTAAAAATAGTAATGATTTGAGCTAATTAAGACACACATTAATGTGTTGTACAGCCAAAACAACCTGCAGAACACACTGTCTGTTATTAACAGGAGTGATAATTTAACGATTTTCCACTTTCTGTAGCTCAGACTGTGGTAATCCGAACTATCATATATTCTCAGTGGATGTGCTCTACTGGACTCTTACTTCACATTATAAATTTCATAATAATCCATTAAAAAATACACGAGATATAAAATCTCGAATTTTGATTGAGGTTAGTAGTTAGGGAGGCACTTCAGCATCCAAAGGATGCAGCCACAGCGAGGGGGGTGGGGTGAGAAACATCAAAGATGACTAGGTCATAGTTCCAAAAGTTGCCACAAGACGCGTTGCTAGGTCGCCATGACAGGGGCCATGACGTCATAGTTCAACAAAGTGTCACCAGAGAGTGCAAATAAGTTATTGAGGGCTGAAACTATAGTTCAATACCATACAGGTGGCCATAATGGATGATTACAAAGTAGAGAACATATTTCTAGGCCATCATGACAGATGGCCACGACTCATACAATACATGTCTCATCATGCGGATAATTAATCATTAACTCTTTCAGCACGGGCTTGGTCCCTGGGACCGACCTCTTAACCATTTTATGCATGTTATAGTTTTCATGTTATACCTATTAAATTGGTAAGCGAATGTTAACGAAATTTGGCACATTATCAGTAAACAATACAATGCTTTCCTACACAAAATATAATTTTTTAAATTAAATCTTAAGGTTTGTAAAGCAATGTTTTCTCATGCCTTTTTTTTTAATTTTCGCATGTTGCCTATCTAACATGCAAAGTAATTTTCATTTCCAGATTAAAAATACTTTTATGCATCAGAAAAGTTTGAAATTTCACATGTTAAATCTTTATAATGTCCAGATAGTTATCAAACGTTTTTTAAGAAAAAACTTTATATTTTACCTGTTATTTTCAGTAATGAATCTCCGTACAGGTTTGGTAGATTTGATCAATCTTGTACCCACAATAAAAATTAGGAAATAAATATAAAGTGTGCTTCTTTCATTCGAAAATGAACACAAATTATAACATGAAAACATAAATGTTTAGGCTAAACAGCTTAAATCTCATAACATTATATCCCTATTGGCAGGGGTACCATTTACTGTGCATGACACAAGGTTTTAGTGTCTTACATTCAAAATTTTATTAAACTACTTTTTGTTTATGTTATACCAATTAGAATAGCGCAAAATTTTAGCTAATAATCCATATTTTAATAGTATACAAGTTTTAAGTTCTTAATTCTAAAAGGAAATATATAAAAATATCCTAAATTTCCACTAGTGCAACACACATGACAAATTTTGTCTTAGCATGTCATCATCCCTATTTTATCCATCACCCCTCGAAAATGTTCGAAATTAAACGTAAAATGCTCTCTATAAAATCGTTATTGTTCAAACAGACCATAATTTTTG